AAGAATTCATTCAAATTATCGTGCAGCAACATTAGCATGGTACCTTAATTCCCACTAATAGTCATATTGTTGGAAGTTAAATTTAATTTTGGCCCATTGTTATTTGGATTTTTGTTATCTAAATGAAGCACATATTCTAGAATAATCTTTTGTGGAAGATGCTAGAAACCTATTATAGAGTAATTCATAGAAAAGTCTAGAATAGCATTTAACGTCTAATTATGATAGAAAATAGAAGAGTTTTCAAGGGGAATTAAAATATGTTGTCATAATCCTAATGGGATACTACTAGTAGAAATAGTTGAGGTATCTTTGAATTTGTATCAAACAAAGTAAGAAATAAAATTAGCAGCCCCTTTCATCTTCTCTCATCTTCTTCCTAGCCTTACTAGCCTCTTTCATATTCTTTGTTCTCTTGAGCCTTCTCTAGTTCTAAATAGCCTTTTCATTCCAACACATATGTGGTCAATGAATATTCCAGTGCCATCAAATCAAACATGCTTGTGTGATGTTCTTCATGGCTTTGTTTAAGAATCAAGAAAGCTAGATGCACAAAAAAAACAAAAACAAAAAAAAAAAAGAAAGCCAGTTGCACAACCTAGCCTGAATATGGGTCTATCCACTGAAATATTTAAGCTTTGATTAAAGAAAGTGCCATCATGCAATTGTTGAACCGGATTGGTTTCGTTAAGGTTCTAGGAATAGTTTTTTTTTTCATTTTCATTAACCATATGCCAAGGACATCATTAAATTAATGTTATGGAATTGAATCTAATGAGTCATTTCCTAAATGTAACTACAAATTTAGTCTTTGCAAGATAAAAATAACCAGGAAATACCAACTAACTTGAATTTTCTCCTTGTTTCTCGAGTAATGTGAAATTCTTACATAATTTTCACCACTTGAGATTCACACTCACCAAGGTTTCCGCCCTCTATACTTCCTCTTCGGCTACCATCTCATCAATACGTAGGATTCCTACTACATATTCATCAATCTGTTGACTATTATAATTATTTTATATTTAATTATTTTTCTTGATTCATTTTTTCCAATTAGATGGTTTCTTAAGATTATCTAAATTCTATACGTGTTGAAATGAAATACACTCAATGTACTATCTCAAATTCTTGTCATGGTATTAGAGCCCCAACATTTTTCTCTTCCATGTATTTCTATAACTTTAGCCTTCATCCATGTATTACCACAATCCTAAGACCTTCATTATTATACTCTCTTTTATCCTATTTTTCTATAAATCTAGCATTCATTATTACATTGCAGCAAATATTTCTCATTGTTACAGCCTTCATCATTGCACTACTGCAAATTATTCCCATTATTACAATAATCATTATTGCATTGCCGCATTTCTTTTCTTCTATGTTTTTTTCCTATGAACAGTGTCATGATGTTCCTCTCCATGGAAAACATTAGCAACATCCGCATAGCATTGGTCTTGAGTTCTTTATGGAATTGAGAGATGTAATCTAGACCCAATGGGAAATTTACAAAGCATTCATTGAACATATCGATTGAAGGGAAAGAACTATCTAAAATGACCACCATTGGTTCACAGTTTCCTTGAAGGAAGAAAAAAATTAAGACATTTACAAGGCACATAAATTCAAAAAAGCATGTTAGGGCCACCCAAAAAAAGTACTAGCAGGACTCTAGCATTCTCATATATTACCTCCTCTTCTCACATTTTTAAAGTTTTAGAAATAAGCATTTCTAGCCCATAAATCATTGATTCAAGAACAACATATCATATGACCAACTTCTCTAACAAAATTATTTCATCTACTCCTTGCCCTAACAACAAGCAATAACCAATTCTAATGGATACTCGACAACCATGACCAGTTAGAGAGATGTTCTTACAAATTCCCTCACAATTTGAAATATCATCCATATACTTAATTTACTTAACCTCCTTTTCATTCAAAAATTGACTAAAGATCCCAAGAATAGTGATGTATTTTATTAGTCATAATATACCTTTCAGGAATAGGCCACAAGAAGGATAATTGGTCTTGCTAAAGAAAGGGGTGGTATTCACCACTTTGTGAAATCCATTGATCGATAAACTTTATAAAACCTTCAATATTACCTTATATTATCTATTATAAACCCTTAAATCTAATAGCAAAAAAAATTCTGGCTTCAACACCTATATATCAGCCACTCATCCTTTATTATTCTCAAAACCATGTTTCTTTTAAAATAAATCAATATCAAAGGATTCATTGTGATGTTTGTGAACTAACAAAACAAAAACACAAGAACCCTAATTTCTTGTTCTCTCATTCATAAGATATTAAGGGACCAAAAAATAAAAAAATAAAAATTTAATAAAAATTTAAAAAAGACATCTAGGAACCATCTTTTATACCTAATATCTCTAGAGCTTGATGATTTATATCATTTATCCATGTTTTAACCCATGTGTCATGAATTTTTTACTAAAAGCCAAAAGTGATATGAGTGCCATCTTTTTCATCTTTTTCAACATAAAAAAATTACTTTGGTCTAGAGATTAAAAGTCACATCCAATAACAACAACAAGCATTTTTCCCACTATGTGGGGTCAGCTACATGAATAATTTTTCTCCATTATGTCAGTTAAGGGTCAAATTCTTATCTAAATCTAATTAAGAAAGGTCAGATCTAATATTTTCTAAATAAGTCTTTTTAGGTCTACCTCTATCTTTCTTAATATAAGTCAAATAATACATCTTCTTTCCTAACCAGAACATCGAAAGGCCAACGTTTTATGTGACCAAACCATCTAAGGAGACTCTATAATCTTTTCTTCCACTGAGCAACTCCAACCTTTTCACGTATATGCTCTTTTTGTATCCTGTCTTTAAGAGTAAACGTTGGCTCAAGAAAAACGGCACGAATACATGAATCCCTCTTTGGAGCCGTAGGATTCCATTTCTCTTAAGTTAGATTTTAATTAACCAGATTTCTCATGAAGGTAGTATCAATGTTTAATTAGATATGGGGTCCTTACTTCCCATTAACACAAGTACTCATAGTTAATTACCCCTCTTAACATGAAAGAGAGAACTCTCGGTTAAGGATGAATAATTTTTAGATGTTTTAGTCTCAATTGTGGAGAAAATGGAGGTAAACCCGATCAAGATCTTATGGTTCCATCATCCTGAGTATACCATAGGTTTCAATCTACTAACACTAACAATCATTGATCGTAGTATCCATAGAATCTGATTAGTAATCATGGGTTGCCTCCTCTCAGAGATTCCGAGAAAACTAAGGTGATTAAATATATATTATAATTTATTGGGGATATTGGGGTTTATATCTATTAGAATATCCATAAATTGATTTGGTTTGAGATTTATAACTTCGTTTAGAAGTTCCATAGAAATTTGAATTGAAGCGGGTCTTACAGCTTCTGTTGGAAGTAGCCCATGTGTTTGAATTTAGGTCGGGACTTACCGCTATCATAGAAAGTAGCTCGTAGGTTTAATTTGGAATAAGGCTTATAACTCTATTTATGAGTTACACAAAGATGGGTCTTACAACCTAACTCTACACAACAAGGCTACCCAGGGATTTTGTTTAGATATGGGGTATGTCTTATGTTTCCCTTAGAAAGTTGTCTGAAAGTAGGTCTTAGAACTTAATCTTTTAGCCTAAGATGCTCATTTGTTTGAATTGGATTGTTTGGGGTTTAGGATCAATGCAATTTATTTAATAATTTTTCTAAAATGTGGGTCTTCCGACTTCACTTAGAAGTTGCCCGAAAACGGGTCTTACAACTTAATCATTTAGACTAAAATGCTCAATTGTTTGAATTTGATTGTTTGTTTCTTTGTTTGTGGGCAATAGTTGTTTGACATCAGACCGTGATTTTTAGTTGATTGTTTACTAGCAGTTATGCTTACTAGTTTGACCAGTTGTCGTTGTGACACTAGTGCTTTTTACTACAATAGTTTTCATTTCTTGTTGTTTGGTAGCTTCTTTTCAATGCTAATAGTTTACTTTTCCTGCACCAGTGTAATAGTAGTTTATTGTAGCATTTTATGTTTTAGCATTTATTTGAATATTAGATTATTTCAATGTTTAATGAACTTCATTTGTTTATTGCAGAAGCTCGAACAGGAGAGACTTTGAGAACTTGCAGAGTGCGTGGTAAGTTTGTTTTTGTTGAGTTGTGTGTTGAGTTGAGAGTTTATAAGTTGGAGAGTAGTGTTTGAGTTGAGTGTTATTTGTATTGTTCTGAGTTTGAGAGATTGTTTTTTGAGTTGAGTTATTGTAAGAGAGTTTGTTGTTTGAGTTGAGTTAGTGTTGGAGAATTTGTTGTTTAGGAAAAATTATTCTGTGCGGACACCGAACGAAAAGAATTGTCCGAATTTGTTGCACTTTTGTTGCCCTTTTGTTGTGCTTTTGCAAAAGGGCGGTAAAAGGGAAGATAACATTCAATTATGAATGTGTTTTACTGCCCTTTTGTTGTCCTTTTGTAAAAGCGCAACAAATATTTAATTATTTAATAAAGATTAAATTTTTATTGCCCTTTTACTTCCCTTTTGCCTATGTTAAGAAAGGTAGAGCTAGACCTAAAAAACTTGGTTAGAAAATATTATAAATGACATTTTTTATTAGATTTAAATGATAATTTAACTCTTAACATGACAAGATGAAGAAAAAGAATTCAGGTAGTCGACCCCACATAGTGGAAAAAAATCTTCTTCTTCTTCTTTTTTTTGTAATGATTTCCCATGATTGTATAAATTTTGTAAGTGTTGAAATGAAATACACTCAACCATTTTTTATCAATTGTTCAACAATGTCAGTATCATTAAGGGTCCGACAATGGGTTTTTGTTTCTCTCTTACTAACCATGTGCTTAAGACTTCTTTAAATTAATGCCATGGAATTAAAACTAATGCATCATTTCATAAAAATGTAACTGTAACATTTAGTCCTCGCATGATATAAATAACCAAAAATAAATAAAAATAACTACCTTGAATTTGCTCCTTCCTCTTGAATGCACTCGACAGACTAGCCCCATTTTTGACTCATTTTCAGTTACATCAACGGAATAGAAATGGGCACACTGTTTTTCAACCTGAACAATAAAATGATAAACAATTAACCAGCCATTTCACTAAAATGGCCAAACAAAGTAAAAAAAGAAAGAGTTTCCAACTTTTCTACACAAAGAATTCCCAAACTGAAGGGACTGAACAGTCACAGAGCCATTAAGTGCCTCTTCCAAGACAGTAGCTGATACTGTTGTCTTAATTGGCACGCCAAGCTTACTGTTCACAATAACGAAGTATGAATATTAATTGAAATTTACATATAATAAAAAGGTGCAAATTATATTACATGGAATACCTAAAAAGAGCGGCAAACATGGTGTTTACTGTCCCTAGACTTGAAAGGTCCAGCTCCAACTCTTGGCTTTCAGAATCAATGGCCTGGACAACAAACACTAACACTGTTTCAGCAGCAATTGTTAACCGGCTAAAGATGATATAAATGAAATCGAGTTCATTCAGTAAAAACTAAATAAAAAAGCATGATTTAGTCAAAACTAAGTATCCGCCTTGCATTATCTTGAAGACGGAGATTTGAATGATTCTAAAGAGTGATGAAAAACCTAAAAGGACTTCCGCAAAGCTTTTGATAGCTAACCTCAAAACCTGATGTATCATATTGTCGCCTTTTATCTGGATCAGATAGGATATTGTATGAATATGTGACCTCCTGAAACATGTCGGCTGCTATTGGATCATTCTGATTCTTGTCTGGATGGTACCTGAAATGAATAACAATAGCAAAATGTAATAAATTAACATAAATTAGCTAGGGAATGAAAAAGGAAAAACTGCAGAATAAATAAAACATTTACAGAAAATGGCCAAAAAATATAGCATGCATCCATGATCAATTTGTTTTCTTAACCAGTATATTCCGTGTTCCATAATTAGATTGCCTTTGAGACATAACTATGGTAATACTATCATACCCAGATATCCACTGCAAATATCATTTTAGAGTGCTGCCATCGAGTTTCATCAAGGATCATCTATGATTCTAATTGAACTTGAAATATCTAGTTGAAAATTATATAAAGTATATAAGATTTTTGCAGATCATGAGAAAGCTAATGATCAAGCATAATGAATAGGAATCCAAGGTCAGTAAAAAAAAAAGCATGTTGAAGTTATTAAATATTAGCATTTAACAAAATTAGAAGCAGTTGCAAATTGATCAAAGATTTCCCAATTAAAGCTAAAGACAGATGATGCAAGGGTAAGCATTAAGGATGTATTTTTTATTGGTTATGAAGAATTATATAATGCATACTAGCAATGAGGTGTCTTTGGGTGCCCTTTTTGCGGATGATATAATTTTAATTGACAAAGTTTCCCTTGAAATAAGCAAGAAAGAATTAAAGATAAAGGACTTTGTATTTGTAAAATGAAGACTAAATGCATGATATGCAATTTTAGTAATTTAATATCAACAATTATCAATCAATATTACTGAAAGAAAAAATCACATATCAATATGATAGATTTCAGTATCCTAGATATATCATTAAAAAAAAAAGAGTTTAGATGGGATATAAAGTGTCAAGGAAGTAACATGCGATAAGAGAGAGATCATGGAGAATCCACATGTTATAAAATTGACATTAGGTTGGCTATGTGTACGAATCCAAGTGCTAGGCAACAACAGCCAAGTTGAGTATGATCAAAAGGAAAAAAGTTAATATGGATGTGTGGGAAAAATTTAGGAAGGGTGGTGGGATTAGTAATTGTCAAAGATATGAAAATAAAAAATTAGACTTAGGTGGTTAGGAGTAAAATAAGAAGTATAAAATGTACCTATAATATGGGTAAATAAATTTAACATGAAAAGATAATAAAGAGCAGTCAACCAAAGTTGACATTGATAAGAGCTCTTTAAAAATATTTTCATAGTTAAGATTTAATACCTCATGCAATGCTTACCAAGAAGCCAAAAATGGATTAAAAACTAGGATTCATAAACCTGAACCAAAATAGTTAAAATAAGGCTAATGATGATCATGAACATCAAGTTCATAAGCATAAAAGCGATACGCTTTTTCATCTAAAGTGAAAATTTATCGGCCCTCCTGTCTCAGCTCATACTCTATAACTAAAAACCTCTGCGGCTTAGAGAATGAATATCACAGAATTTTGAAAAGAAGAGACTTTCATAGCCTATTGCTCGGCAAAATCCTAAATCTTTTTACTGCATAAGAACTAAAATTGTTCTCATAATTTATCACAAATAATAAAAAATTTATTAAATTAATTATATAGAAGACACTAACAAACTCAATACACTAACAGAAGTAAGGATATAAGCTATCTTTTTCAAGCAAACCCATTTATGTGGCAAGTTTTCTGATGCATACTTTCACAAATTTTGAATTAAAATCAGCTCAAACTTTTTTTTTTCTGCACAAAAGAGCAACGCATTCTTATTTGTACACCATAAGATGGCCTTAAGTGATTATTCAGCATGGAAATGTAGTAAAAAGATCGTTGAAATGAATGATTTTAAAATTATAAAACTAAAACTCTGGCATTTTATGATAAAATGATTGTTGATCTTCATCTTTTACATTTGCATCTTCCAAGTTCTTGCTTCCAAATTTTTACATCAAAAACTTCTAAATTCAGCACATCAAAGATACATTTGATTCTGTTCTCATGATAATCTATTTAGACCTCTCATTTGCGAGATATATATATATATATATATATATGTGTGAAACTAAACCATCGAAATTAGGCTGCTTTGCACACTCTGGGTGATACTAATAAGTTGTTTGGTTGCAATGTTAGCCAGAATTTAGGCTAAGTCTTGCCAAAAACAGTTTTTGAGGTACATACATCTTCCCGGTCAGCTAAATTTTATCTTCTATTCTTTAGTATTAATTTTTTTATTTGATAAATCGTATTAAGAGTTAGAATTAAAGGATTTATCGAAAGTGTTGCCTCCTCTTCTCCTTCTCACCATGACTATTTGGCTACTTCCTACCATAAATCCTTTTCTTCATCTTGCTAGTCTTCCCAACCTCTCATACATTGACTTTGCTTGTGAACTCTAGTTACTTCCTCACATAGATTGCTCTTCTCCTCTTGTGAACTTGCATGTGAGATGTCGAGAGAGAAATAGGTGGGAGGAAGTCAAGGGAGGAGCACCATTGAGATTGAAAGAGAGAGAGATAATTTCAAATTAATAAAAATTATTAAAATAAGGAATAATTAATTATTTGTAAATGCTTGAAATAGTAATAAATTAATAGTTTAATTAAGGACTTGTTAATAGTAACTTAGTTAGACTGATAATTAAAAGAAATATTTATTATAAATTAATTAATGCTAAAATATATCCTAATGATGATTAGTAAATAGTTGGGCCCATTACTTATCGATTAGTAGTTATTAAAAATAAAAATATATTAAGAGAATAGTAATAGATAAATTGGGATTATTAGTTATATCCTTACATTTAAGGGATTATTCAACCACAAAAGAAGAGTTGACATAAGAGTACTTGTTCATAAGTTACAATATGGCAACTTGCATCTAGGAAAAGCTTCCTATTCTGTGCATCAGAGTGGGGGGATTAATATGTGGGTTCAGCAAAATAAAGCAAATAGAAATTAACAAACCGAAAGTTGAAATGGATTTTACATACTTGACATTAAAGTAAGGTCGCTATTTATTAGAAAAAAGTTCCATGAGAATTTTGCAGAAGCAATTTTTCCTTGAAAAAATAGCATTGCACAATGCAAATTAATTGGAGGGATGTGATTTCACTTAGTTGAAGCAAATGTAGAGGAACGACAAGATATTGAGGAGTTTAAGTTAGCATGTTGATTTGTTATTCCTTCAACACCAAACCTCTCAATTCTCAGTACCCTTTATGGCTCTTGTTTGTCCTTCCTTTCTAGGGCCAAAACTCAAAAGTTGCTCAGCAAACACTCAAACTTCAACTTTAAATAAAATTAATCTATCTATTTTAGATTAAGTCCCAAGTGGGTCACTTTAAACTCACGTTGGAATCAATTTCAAATCACAAGCTACAACAAACATAATTTTTCAAGCTAGAAATTAACAAAACTAAAGTTGAGATGGATTTTACAAATTGTTGATATTAAAGTAAAGATTCTAGTTATGGAAAAAATTTCAATGAAAATTTTGCATAAGTAAAATTTCTTCAGAAAAATAAAGCATTGTGAGACCCAAGTTAATTAGTGGGAAGTGTTACACTTAGTTGCAAATATTACAAGCTATTGAGGAGTTTAGGTTTGCATGTTCATTTGTTACCCCTCCACATTACCTCTCAATTTTTCTTTACCCTTTATGGTTCGTCTGTCATGCCCTTCTAGGACAAAAAAACAATGGCTAAAACTCAAAAGTAACATGCAAACTCAACTTGAATTGAAATTGATCTATCTATTTTGGGTTGAGTCACAATATGAGTTGATTTAAACTCATTTAGCATAAATAAAATCACAAGCCACAACTCCACATGAAATCCTCACCAATGAGTGTATGTTGAATAAGAATTTGTTGTTGAATACAGGAGGGCAAACTGCAGCAAACTTTTGCATTGAGATATCATCTCTGAAGGACAAAATTTGTCCTCACAGAAGGTGTATTACACATCTCAACAAACTTTCACTAATTCTAACAACTAATGCCTTTAACTTCTATTTAATATGAAACATATCACTCTAATCTGTCAATATATGCTTCACTGTCTTTAAAAAGTGGACTTCATCCAACAATATTTACACTCTACATAACATATAGTTCATATTTCCCATAAAAATGAACTAGGCATGGTAAACCAAGAAAGGTAGGTTAGTAGATCTCACACTATGGTGTTTACTCTACTCGTAATTGTTCTCTGAACAATAGTTATATTCCATTAATTATCTTCCCGGGTTAATCTTCTTCTTTTGAAAAAATATAATAAAACATATTAGTATATAAGATTTTAAATTTTCAAAATTATCTAAGAATTTTTTTTATTTCTTGAATTGATATTAACGAGCATTCAATCCATCCAACCTGCCAAGGATTCAGAAATTTTATTCCTATTGCTGTGACATCACAAAGTAAACTTTCTTTTCGTCATTCATCTATTTTACTTATTAAGAGAATTAACAATAGATCAAATATCAAGTGATTAACATCTAGAGCTTGTTTTGCTTTTTTTTTTTGTGCAAAAAATTAGCTATACTCAATTAGATAGTAATTGCTATGTAGTATTTAAACTATAGGTTTGCATTCATTGCAAACAATGCTGCTGTTGCTTAAATCCATGGAATGCAAACCAGCTAAGACATTTTGGATACCTTACAGTTAAATTGCAACAAATAACTCTAACTAATTACAACTAATTGGCTTATACAATAGGGATGAGCGGGTTATGTGGCTATTTGCTTTTACTTTGTGCACATTTAATATGTTTATGCTAACTATGATAATAGTGATGAAATGCATCAAAAAATTTATAAAAAAAAAAACATTATATATATATATATAAGAGACAGAGAGATGTGATATGCGAATATGTAGACAATATTATTCATAACATTTGTTCATTCCAAGAAGCTGCTAGCTTGCTTATTTCAAGCGAAATTGCTGATATATCAGGCAAAGTGCTATATATGATAGCTATTATGCGTCAGCATCAAGCTAGATTTTATTTGACAGTCATTTGTAGGTCAGCTCCATTATTTAATAATAAGTTCCTTCAGGAAAAAAAAAGCGATCAACAGTTTGAGGACGATTAGGTTATCAAGTTCACACTGGTTAAAAGATTTGTGCAATCCAAAAGAATTTCAAGGTTGTTGAAATTACAACATGACAACCTTAGCCCTCTGCTAACTTGACAGTTATGCACATATGTTATGTGAGTATAATACTGTATGTTGCTGGAGTAAGTCATGTCAGTATACTACACTGTAACTCTACGGAGGGGCAATCTCTTCAAATCTATCAAGTAATCAAGTAAATATGAATAGCTCAGCCCCTCATGGAACCTTTGTATTATCGTCTACAAAAAGGCAGGCAATGAGGTCAAGTGACTAAGAAACCTATTGGCATAGGCATCATTATAACACTGCCAAGTTCCACTCTTTCTGCAATGTGTTTTCTATAATTACTTTACCTAGTGGTTTTGTTAGTAGATATATATCTGACCCCACGATAACTCAGATAATTATCCAATTATTTGGAAGTTTCCTTCAATATCATATCTTAAGAAATTTCTCAAAGTAACCAACTTATACCCACATCTCTGAAAAAGATTTACATGGATAAAAATAGATGTTCCTTTATATGATTTAGGATGGTGTACAGCTCTATGACTCCATAATGGACTTAGTTTTAGCACAAACTTGATGGAATCACATACGTGAGAGTAGAAATGCGTCGTAACCTAGGAAATCTTGCAACTCTATGTGATGTTCATTGCATCATTATTTTTAATAAAATTGAACAATGTTGAAGATACTTTCAATTTTATGTTTCAAATTCATTTACATTATTATTTGGTGACCATTAATAGCTCCATTATTCATACTCTGTTGCGTAAGAACTGGTCCACCAATTTTATAACTTTCAATTTCTAGCATAGCTTTGTGCACAATCAATTTACTGGCTGTTCCTGCTTCAATGGAAAGTATTTATAGTGAACCCAATTAATACATGCCATCCTTCCCTTGATTATTGATACATGGCTAGCAGTTCTCCTTATGGAATTTATGCATCATGATTGCACTTCTATAAGATATAATACCATCTTTTTCCTTTTATTTCAATGCCATCTTTTTAAAATTTTGAACTAACATTCTCCTCTCATATGTTGATTTATGAAAAACTATGACCATTCTTCAGATCACTGCAACGAATGACACATGATGAATGTAGGGTTCATAAATCATAAATGAGGGCGTCATTGCCCTTATGGAGAATGCTTTGCCCGCCTCGATGCATTTACTCATTCTAATAAATTTTATTTCTTTAGATTCTATTAATGCAATCGCTACTAACTTCCCGTTCTAATTTATCGATCTTGTTATTTCACAGTAGCATTCAACAAATGATTCCAACAAATCTCACTAACTACTAGTTTTTTTTGTGCTTGTGCAGGTAGACCCCCCAAAAACTAGTTGGAAAAAATAGTTTAACGCTACCTAACACAAATTAAAAACAAATAATCAGGATTTTTAATCAGCTGCACAAAAGAAGAGGAGACCAGTCACTCCAAAACCACTTTCAATTCCTTATTTCAACTACAAATAACTCAAAATATCAACCTATCATACCACACTATATAAAACAAATAATCAGGATTCTTAACAAAAGTAGTGCACCTCGCGTGATAGTCGCATACGGAGACGTGCAAATAAACACAAATTTAAAAAATTAAACTCCACGTAAATCACAGTAGAAAGAGGCAAGACGTTTAAATTTAGGAGGTTTACTTTAGGGCCATTCGCCGGTAGGAGCTCTTGATCTCCTGATCCGTGGAGTTACAAGAGACACCGAGAACCTCATAGGGGTCTCTCCGCTGCTGTTGATGCTTCGCCGCAGACTCACCCTTTTTCTCCGGCTTCGAAGAGAAGCCCGGCGCCGGCATTCTCTCACGGACAGGAAGGTGATGCAAAATCTAGCCGTGGAGCTCCAAAAAACCCATGTTCACCACGAATCCTTCCGGAATGGCATCGATCTGCAATGAGGCTCAGGGCCTCGCCGATCTATCATTTCGAATTCGATCGCGGAGGGAGCAGGAGAGGAGAAGGAGGCCTGTGATAGAGGAAAATGAAGGATAGAGTGACGTAAGAGACGCCGATGTCGACTTAGTCTGTAGCGATTTCGACAGCTCCGGTGAAAAAGCGAGGGATTTTAGGTGAGCCGGCGCTGGGGAGAATGACGCGAGGGAGCAATGAGGAGAGGAGGAACAGCGATATCTGTTATCGTGTACCAATCACTGAGTACCTGCCGACGATCTCACAATATTATCCTATTTATATATAACTAATTAACTATGCAATTATATTATTTATTTATATAACATTCAAATTTTTAGATGTCAAAAAATATTGTTAGTCAAAAATCTCAAATCATAGGAAATTTTATAAAAAGTGAGTGATTTAAATTTAAATTAACTTATGGAACATATTAATGAAAAATAAATAAATATGGAACTTAATTATCCGATTTCAATAGAAAAAATTAAGAATTTAATGAAATCGGGGAACTAAAATCCGGCCAAATTAGAAACAGGATAATGAAGTTCCGGTTTCTATTAAAATCAAATAATTAAATTCCGTATTTGCTTCTTTTTAAATTCTTTTATTAATATGCTCCTTAAGCTAATTTAAATTTAAAGCACGTTCCTTTTTATAAAATGTCCCAAATCATATTGATCAAACCCGCTCCATTCTCACCGTTTTGGTCAAATCTTATGTCTCAATTCTATATTTTTATGATATCAATAAAAAACAAGTTATTGGGAGCGATCGAACAAGAAGAGAGAGATCAATGAGCAAGAGTAAGACAATTACATGAAATTGTGATAGCAAGGGGTAGTCGATATCAACTTCTAGGGCAAGCAACTTGCAAGGAAGAGGAGGTCTCAGCTTGAGTGGTTTCATATAGAGGTGTCAATTTCGGGTCACGGGTCGGTTCGGGTTGAACTCGGAACTGTCCCGGCACCATTCAGATCAACCCGAACCCGACCCGTTTTTTGCAAACGAGTTGATTTTCTGACCCGAACCCGATCCGCTTCAGGTTCGGGTCAACCTGACCCAACCCGTTATCTATTAAAACACGGGCAGCTGCGGGTCGACAGCCGGCGCACCTGCAGCCAGCAGCCGTGGACAGCATGACACAAAGCAGACAGGCTGCGCTGCAGCGGGACCCGGTGGGCAGTGGCAAGGCGGGTAGTTCCGCGACGGGCAAGCGAGGAGCTGCACGGCGGGTAGACGTGACATGCGAAGCAACGCGCGACTCGCGAAGTGATGCGTGACACGCGGACTCGCAGGCGCGACGTGGGCAGATTCGGTCAAGCCCAGTCAGGGCGGGCAGCTGGTCATTATGGGTCATTACCGGGTTTTTGGGTCAACCCGAACACGATCCTATTTGCAAACGGGTCAAAAACCTTAACCCGAACCCGACCCGGTTCGGGTTCGGGTCAACACGAACTCGAAATTTTCGGCTCGAATTCGAGTTGGGTTTTCGGGTCGTGTCCATTATTGACACCCCTAGTTTCGTATATTCAATGAGGATAGTGAAGAGGAAGTGGTGGGAGGAGATGATGGAATAAAGCGGTTATATCTTTTTCTTTTTCTTAGGCCAAAATCATCTTCCTCCTCTTTCTTGGAGCAACTAGGTAAATCCTAACCCTATATTTCTTCCTCTATATACCTTTGAAGCAATCTTAGGTGTTTTTATTTGAATTAGCTATAACTTTCAATTAGATTTACAGTACTAGCTGCTAAAATATAAGATATCATCTTTTTAACTTGCATATGATCAGTTGGGAGTTGAGATAATTTGAAAAGGAATATGTAATTTATGTTATTGAAAATATTATTTAAAGTAAGTGTCTTTTATTGTCCTCATAATTTGTTGATGATTACAGTTACATAAGTTTTTGCGGATTTAAATTTAGAGTTTTTATTTGATATTATGTAAATTCATTATTGATATATTATTGAAAAATGATTGCTTATTTGGCTATGATTAATTCATGCAAGAGATTATTAACTATAAAATTAATGATGAGCTTATGTATTTATGCTATTAATTTAAGTTCGATAACTCATGATTATGATATAGCCTAACATTACAATTTATTATAACCAAACATATAATCATGAATGGTTAACTTATGGATCAGTGTATATATACTTAGTAGTGTATAGCTAAAGTGCTACATTATAAACTAATTATATCAATACTTTAATTTTAGAGAATATGCTTAACTTTATTATCTTGATTGTTTAATATTTGTTATGCATTTTTTTTAATATGTTATTGATTTGGACTATTTTGAGTCTAGAGTTTGTGTAGCACCATGTGTTGGAGCGAAAAGATAAATGCATGATAAAAGTTGCATTGGGTTGCTTGTCAAAGAATAAACGTACATTCTCTTATCAGGGGTGTATTCTTTAATACTTCTTTGCATGGTTTATTTGTTCTTAGTATGTTATGGAATATACTTTAATTGTTTATAGTAATTTACTTAAGAGCTATTTGGCATGAAGTAACAAGGACGTAAATGCAAGGGTTTTGAAATACTAATGTTTGGTTTAAAGTAAAATTTTGAAGTACTTGGCATTCACTCTCTTTTTCAAATTTTGTATATTTGGAAATTGTTAAATTTGACTGATTTTCAAATATATTATAAATTATATCATTGCTAGCATCCATTGCCTATTGTTGGACACTGCCCTCCAACTATCACTGGTTGCTGGTCATAATAGCCATCCTTAGTAACAACTAGTTGTTGCTCGACATCATTGGCTTCTATCAGCACCGCCTCCTCCAACCACTAGCTACCACCATCATTGAGTTTTTTTAAAATAATAATAATAATAGTCAGCTTCATTCGTTTTACACTTATCCAAACAACTCATAACATTTCAAATACATTGCATTCTATTTTAGTCATCATTCCTTTATAAACATATCAAATAGGCCCTTAATCATTTTGTTATAATGTGATAGTTAGCTTATCATATTACTTATGGCATGAATAAAGGAAGTTCATGTATGTTATTTTGATTGCTAAGAAATAATAATCGCTCATAAGATCCATGAATTATGTTGATATATAATAATATAATGGTAATTAGTATATGTATAATATTTAGATCTACATGCTATGACTTGATTTTAATTTTATATGTCATGAATGTTTATTTTATGTTTATGGATTTTTATTGTGATTTTATATATTTGGTTTTGCAAATTTTTATTCACTAATTTTTTATGATCTTAGTTTGGAGAGAATTCATGTATAATCCATGGATAACATTGTACAAAATGGCCTTAGGGCTATTAATTATTTTATTTTTTTTAATTTTCTTATGTTTGATTTATAAACATTCTTCATTATGCTAGAGACAATTTTGTATTATATTTATATATGTACTTTTGGGTATTTTAATATGACAAACCTGATATTCTTATTTAACATATCTTTCTTAAAAAATTAACAAATCTTTATAAAAATGGCTTATATGAAGCAATTAGGTGTGTGCTTTGAAATCATTTTTGTCAGCCTGGTCTAACTATGACATTTTAATTATTGACTTGTTTTCATAAAATTTGAAGCTTTGAATTTCAAATACAAGAGGATTTATATGAAATTATATTTAAATAAAATAATTTCTTTATTATAAATATAAATATAATCTTAAATTATTTATCTTTATATAATTTAATAAAAATTCCTATATTTAAATTTTGCTAACCCTTTATTTTTCCATTCTTAGTTAAGATTTTTTGAGAAAGAGGAAGAGGATAGGAAGTTTACAAATACATAGGGTTACTATGAAATCCCTTAAGTAAAAGAAGCTAAACTCTTAAACATTAAGGCTCCTTTTAAGGTAATGGTTGAATTCATTAAGAAACTTCACAATTAAGTGTGCTTATCCTGAAGCAATCATAAAATGGGTGATCTCCTTAGAAGTTACACCAATATGACAAAATCGTGAGGTCATTAAGCCAAAACAGACAAGATCTCGATAGTTAAGAGTTTGAGTTGTTACAAATATTATCAGAGCAATACACCCATCGAAAGATGGATACTAAGCGTCATATAAGATAAAGTGCAATGCCATGGGAGTTAATGCATGAACAACTCGTTTGAGCATACTTTATCGAAAATTTAATGAACAACTCATTTGAAAATATAAATAAGCTTGAGCATACTTGATACTACGATTATCGAAAATTTAATGAAGAACTTATTTGAAAAAATAAATAAGCCCTTAATAACAAGCTTAAAAATAAGATTTATGCTTCATTTGTGACGACTTTCTTACTGCTTCTTAAAGCATCTTTCTAGTATAAAAATTTAAATTTTTATACTAGAAAGCTGCTTTAAGAAACAGTAAGAAAGTTGTTTCAAACGAAGCCTTAATATTAACAAGCTTTTACAATGCTCTCCTAAATCCCATCAAGTTATATATATTTGTCCACGTTATCCTGTCATTATTGAATCATCTGTATGAACCCCACATTATTTACAAGCTCGTGCAGTTAAGCTCTTTATTTCCATTTAAATAATACAAGTTTAACATCCAAATGATGTCGACTAAATGCTTAATGGTATGAACAATGCATGAAGGAGAATGTTGGCAAAGATGTTTATAAGTTTTTACAATATCTCGTAACTTTGGATGTTAAAGCCTAATCTATTCCATAAGAAAATTTTAGAAGCATGCATCTCTGATAGATTTCTACATTAGGTATTTAATTATATTTAATTTCATTTTTATTTTTAGATAAAGTAGGTAATTTAATTTTGATTTAGGTGTTGAGTATAGTTTATTTGAATTAAAATGCATTTTTAAGTATAGTATAATATTTAGTCTTAACTCAATTATATATAAGTTAATCAAGCTTTTTAACATATTTGTTTATGAGTTTTCAATGATATTATTCATGATTATAAACATATTAAGCACCAAGCTATTTAAGCTTGCTAATTTAGGAACTAAGTATTTGTAAAAGTGTTCAAATTTATTTGTTGAAATTTTTTACTAAAACTTTATATGATAAGTATTAGATTGATATATTGAGGTATCATGTTAGTTTAGTTGAAGTATATTTTATCAGTTATAAAATACTATATTGGATTAAATATAATTTCCCCTTTCATGTGTTGAATATTATAATAGATATAGGCCATCTTATTAAAGGTTATGGTGAAGTTATGCTCCAATATATGTTTTTAAGGAATTGCCTCATTTGAATCTTCTAATTATCTACT